GTCCCTCAACTTTAACTCAATTAGAGAAATGGTCCTTCAACTTTAACCAATTGGAGAAATGGTCCCTATATTTTAACCCAATTGTAGCAACAGTCCTTCCAACATAATTCATTTTGACGGAATTCTTATGGAGTTGACAAAAATGACCATAATTGTACATTTTGATGAGTTAAGAGATCAATGATTGTGAATTTTTAGTTAAGGGATTATTGTTCCAATAGAATTAAAGTTGGGAACCATTACTACAATTTTCTCCAAAAGTTTGATTTTTCTTTACAACTTTTTCTTTTATTTTTAATATTACGTAATATTATATAATACAAAAATGAGTAACTAGAATCGAATAATAGCATTGAAGTCATAGAAGATATATTCGAATGACTAAATGATGTAATAGGAAACCATATAAAACACCAGCAGTCGAGTCAATTGACTAAGGAGTAAGCAAGGTGGAAGATTGGGTAACTAATTCAGTGAATGTAAGCTAATTAAGCATCAAGACCCCTTAGAGTCAAAGAAAGACCAAACTTGTGGGTCCGTGTACCAACAACTTTTTGGTCAAGGTCTAACAAAGTTTCATGATTTATATAGAGTAGTGTTATTCCCACCCTAATGTTTTATTTTTCCACCAATCTTTTAATAATTCTTTTTAATTACAAGTTTGTTCATGTGCAAAAAGACCGATAAGGACATTAATTATCTTATTTTGCTTAATTTAAAAAAAATAAAGGTTGGGCGTGGGTGACGATTTGTTTACCTTAAAACCCTAACTCATATTTTCATTTTCTTTCATTCAGAGAAAGTAAAAAAAATATCAATGGACTTAGAAGATGACTTTTTCATTGAACAGGTGGAATATGACATTTCTACAGAAGAGGTAGAAGATTATGTTTCCATTGAAAAGGTAGAAGAATAATTTGTGTGTAGGTCATTTGAATTTGTCCATCGTATTTTTGAATTTGTCATTGTCGAATTCTTTTGAATTTGGATACCTCTGTCATTTCCATATGAATTTGCAAACCTTAGTGGTTTTCATTTACATATTATTTGTTATATTTTTTTAAGGGACAATTTTATAATTTTATATGTATGTATATATTAAAGGTTATTTTGGGAATAATAGTGGGTTGGGAAATAGCATTTTAATTTTTTACCCTTTTAAGATGGGTGAAATTATAACGTGTGTGGAAAAATAAGACAATGATGTAGATTTAGTAGCCCTCTTTATATATTATGGACTTTATCAAATCATGCTTTAAATCTATCCCATGATCCCTTCCCTCTTTGATGTCATATATTGTATAATTGTTTTTTTCCTTTTCCTTTTGATATGTCTTTTTCTATCCATCCCCCACTTTTGTAACAAAATGTTAAAAAAGCAAATATTAAAAAAAGTTCCATAATTAATTGATCTTGCACTTGTATATAGATGATTGAAAAATGTACATAAAACTTCAAAGTCAATGTCACCATCTAATTTTAACTCTACTCGCAAACATGAAAGAAATTATATTAGTTAGAGTGGAAGTACTTCTTCTCATGTCTTTGAGTTTGAATCTTTTGCCAGCAACTTAGAAAGATATAAAATAGACTATGGCTTGTATTAAAAGATGTTAACTAAAATCAATTTTGCAATTTTATAAACACCAAATTATTTTTATTTAATTTCGAAGTGTGCATCTTTGCCTATTTTTCCAGCCTCGTAAAAAAAAACAATAATACTTAGACAAATTATGTGTAAATGCCTCATCAATTAATAATATTATCTCATCAAATGACGGCCATATGCACCACATCATGTGATATTCAATCCTGATACAAAAATACATTCTTCCTAACATGTTTTCTATAAAAAAAAATGATTTTTTTTTCTTCTCTTTTATGTGGAGCAGGAATTCTCGTGTGTTTGTTGCATTGGACTGTCTTAGACTGAACTAGCTTCAGGGACTAAGCTGGACTGGCTTAAATTAGACTAAACTAGACTAGCTTAGTGAAGTGTTTGGTGCAGTGTCAGACTAACAAACAGGATAATGAAAACAGTACTATCACCAATTTGATGTTAGTTCTCCGACCGGACCGTTTCCGTCTGAAGAAACACTTATGAACTTGTTCTAAGACCGCAATGGCAGTGTGTGACTGAGCTTACTAGTTACAGTGTGGCTATAGATTTGAAATATGTCAAATTTGCTACATCAATGGTCAGCCTGCAATCACTCTTAAATTAGATATGTCAAATTTGCATTAGATGTGAAGTGTGTACATATTTTTGTATAGAAGAATTTACAGCCCAATGCTCATGTAAGAATTTATAATTTTTCAACAGGGAAACCAGTAACAGGTTTTATCTCTGTAGCCAAATTGCGCAATTCGGCTACTTCTTCACTGTTGAGCCGCCATCTAAGTGCACCTGCGAATTCTACAGCCTGTTCTGCGTTTTTGGCTCCTGGGATTGGCACAACGTTGTCCTGGGCTATCAACCAGTTTAGGACTACCTATTAACAGTAACCTGACTCGCATTAAAACCCAGCAAAGAGAACAAACTATATTTACACATTTTAATACCCCAACACCTATTTCTACATTCCAGAATTCTTGCCTGATACATCAGTATGTAGTTTAATGATCTTATACGGAAAACATGAAACTACCAAGAGTTGGACTACATGTATAAAAGACGGTGAAACAAAGAGTTTCTTTCAGCATGAACTGGAAGTTGCAACGGTATCTATGAAGCGTTTCATACTCGTAAAGGGTCCAAAATGGATTAACTACTAAAATACTGTACTTTTGGGGATATTTTCAGCCATGCTTCCACATAAATGAAAACTTTAGGACTTCTAACATGGAAAAGATAAAAGCTATTTAAAGTTAAAAGAGCATCAACAAACATGTGTGTTTGTTTTACTGTACTTTTCTCCTAATTCCTTGATCCGGTTCAGCAGAGATTGGAGCTGCAGATAACAGCAATATTTGAGCAAAACAATTTGGAACTTAATGTGTAGTGGGCTTTCAAAATATTGACTATGATTTACCTTTGAAAGAAATTCAGGAGTATAAATCTGTCTTCGAAGGCCAGTTGGGGGATTTTCAGGTGTACACTTTCTTGTAAGAGCACCTGCATATGCATTAATAGTAGAATGTCAATCTTCTCAATCTCTTTCACCCCTAGATTAGACAGACAAACTTTGACTGCTGTGGTAACCAATCTAGTAAGATCTGAAATTAAAGGTCGTAATCGTTGTAAGCAGGGTTGTGCAGAGATTCAAGTAATAACATAAGATCCAAACAGACATCTTTTTATCAAGAATCCAGAATTTTTTTTTTTATGTTTTAGAATAACTACATCCCCTTTGTTTTGTTAAAAACTAAATATTTTACCCGAAAACCAGATGTTTGGAATTTTTTGTAAGGTATTACAGCCATTCGCCAACTATCGAACGGCAGTTGAATTCACATTAAAGCTTTACCATGCAAGATCGCCATTCGCCAACCACCTAGTGGTAGTTGAATTCAACAAAAGAAAAATACAAGCAAGATGCTGAAAAGATAAAGCACATGAATGCACAAGATGTACATAATTTTATTTTCTTCACTGTTTCATTTAGGCATATAGTTGGAAGGTGATAGCCTGAAAGGTGAGTCTTTATGTGCACAACTAAAGTCCATAACTATCATGAAACATAAAATAAATAAGATCATAAAGTTGAAGTTAAGAACTGCCTGACAAGGAATGCTCGAAAATTCGAAATTTCACATTAAAAGGCTGACTGAGAAAAGTGAGCAAGTATGCTTTCTCCCAAGTCCTAACTTGGCAATGTTTAAGATCGCACGGAGGGGTCTTAAATACTGTAAAATAAGAAGACATTATATCTCTTAAGCTAACATATCGAATGATGATGAGAATATGGTAAGAAAACACAAGGTTCCAACTTCACCTTGAGCAATAGGCGAATAGGCAATCAAAGTGATCCCAAGTTCATCACAGGTAGACTTCACTCCATTCTCTTCTGGTGCCCTGTATATGAGGCTGTAATTCACTTGATTTGATGCTAGTGGGATACCTCTCTTTTGAAGTTTTGCGTGTGCCTCACGCAATCACTTTTCTGAAATAACGAACTTTATACGTCATGTTCTGGTTAGGAGCATCTATGATAGAAATTTTTTCCATGATTTGAACTGCTAACTTTAACCAACAATAAATAGATAAAAGATAGAATTATACCGCTGTAGTTGGAAACACCAACAGCCTTCACAAGGCCCAGCTCAATAGCATCTCCAAGACTATCGAGATATCCTGAAAATTGATTTCCCAAATACACCTCTTCAGAAACAAAATGTAAATAATGTAACCTCCTAATTATATTAGATGGACAAATTTATTCCAAACGTCGGAAAGTACTTTTCTAAAAGTGAGGTTTCTGAAGTTTTAGAACTCCAAACTCCGAAGAAATTTGGAGGGGCGGAGACAAAGATTTGTGGGAAATTAATGAGGAGTGAAAGAAGTAGTTTGTGATGGTTGGGTGAAGAATTGAATATTGAAAAGCTGGCACCGATGATTTTGGAGTGAAGAGGGACATGGTCTTCGGAGTGTACACGTTCGTCTTCATTTTTCAGGTTCCATGAAATATGGACGGCTGGAATTGCATGAGCCATCAGTATCAAGTGACGAGACTTTAACTGAGTTCACATCACCCGACCAAAAGAAGACTACTTGGGGGATAGATGCTCTGGGAGAACACTGCAGGATTTAGTAACAGGATGACTGTTTGATCCACAAGCAAGCTTTAATGGTAAGATTCAGTTGCGATGCTATGCAACATCCCTTTACAACAGCAATTACAAATCGAAGAAATATGAAAATGGCATAAAATGTGAAAACCCCAAATTCTAATCTCAATTTGACCCTAAAAATCAAAACCCTAATTTGTTCAGGAGCAGGGGTCAATTATTGAAAATCTCTCAAACCCAAAACACCTAATCAAATAAAGCCCAGTAATATCATGATCTGCAAAACAAATCGAAAAAATAATGTCGGATTCCAAGTTTACCAGACAAGAGGAGCAAATGAGGGCGAGCAAGATGTAGCCGAGGGCGAGCAGGATGCAGAGATGAGGATGAGGAGAACAACGATGAGGGAGCAGGGCGCCGACGACACTCTTTCGTAGGATGAGCAAGGTTCTCTCTCACAGGAGTGCAGGAGGTCTTACGAGTCCTGGGGTTCCTCGGGTGCTTCGCTAAGAACTCCTAGCGAGGGGTTTAATCCTTGCGAGTCCGATCTAATCCCATTAAACCTAATCTTGTGCATACCAAACATCAGACTACACTAGCAATAAGTGTAGTCTAATCCAATCCCACTTAAGAAGGTCAAATAAACACTTTTGGCTACCTTAAGTTTTATTGGACTGGACTATTGTGGTAGGATTATTATTTTGTGTTTGGTGCAAGTCGGGATTGAGTTTAATGGGATTACGCCGGACTCGTGCAGACTAAATCCTTCTTTAGCTGGGCTTAGCGAGAGCCCCCAGAAAGGAGGGGATTGCTAGTCCCGTTTCCTCGCTTTGCTTCGCCTCGCCCCAAGCCTGAGAACTTGCCCTCCCACTGTCTCTCTCCCCACCTCCCTCTCGTCTATTCAGAAGATCTCCAAGTCTGCAAGAATTTCCAGGTCTGCAAGAATCCCCAAGTCTGCACCTGGGTTTGATAGAAACGATTCAAATGAATCTAAAAAGTCCACGTCTGCAAAACTTGATTTGCAAGTATTTTCCCTTTTTCTGGGTTTTCTAATTAATTTTTCTGGGTTTTCAAATCAATTTTTCTGGGATTGAATTTTTCTAGGTTTTCAATTCATTTTTTATGGGATTCGGTTTTCCTTCTGAGTGGAATCCTTAATTGGGTTGCTGAATTTTGAACAGAATAAACGGTTCTGGGTTGGGCACTCTGCGTTTTGTCTCGAAGGATTACAACTATGGAGGATTTCAAAGTTTTTGATGGACGGTCGAGAAGGAATTTGTTGTTGTTATTGAAGAGCTATTCGGCTACAAATCTTCAAGTAACTACTTGAGCAGAAAATAAACAGAGGACTTATGAAGGAGATGAACTCTCATATATCAGGAAATGATTATGTGAATTGGGTTGGATTTGTGAGTTGTCTATGAAATACCAAATTGAAGGATTTGATTTTTCTAGGATATTAGAGCTTTTGAGCAATTTGGAGTGGTTGAGCAAATTGAATGATTTCATTTAGTTCTACTTTTTCTAGGATAACAAATTGAAGAATTTGGTTAATTATGCAGAAACTTTCATGTTGGGGTTCACTTTCATTAGATGAGAATATTTTGTTACAGATCATGGTTTTTTTTTTTTTTTTTTTTTTTTGTTTTTTTTTTGTCATTATTTTGCTCTTAGTTCGATATTGCACCAAACGCATCACTAAGTTAGTCCAGCTTAATCTAATTTAAGGCAGTCTAGCTTAGTCCTTGAAGCTAGTCTAGTCTAAGATAGTCCGGTGCAACAAACGCACCCATAGTCTAATAGACCTCATAGCATAGTGTAGTGTAGTCCAGTCCAGTCCCAGTTAAGAAGGTCAAACAAACACCCCTAGAGTCTAATAGACCTCATAACATAGTTATTCTGTGCTATTGGACAAACCAAAATCCAGCATATATTCCTTTCTGGGTTGCTTTTTGTTCCAAGAATGGGAGAGCTAAGCCACCTCAGCACATGAGTATAAACCAGTCTGGATCAAACTCATACGGAAGTTATTGGTTCAAATTTTGTGAGAGCCACATTTGAGAAAATTGGATAGGATCTCAGCTCATGGACGCATTGCAAGGATCTCAGCTCATCTGTTTCCTCCAAATTCCCAGGTTTTCCCTATTGGGGTTTTCCTTGTTTCTTGACAAAGCGATATTCTAAACTGATTTAATGTACATAAATAAGATTCAAACTTGGGTGAAAGAGAGTGCACACTGCCCGAACCATTTGGCCTAATCCAACTCTGGTTTTCCTTTGGCTTCATAAAAATGCATTACGTGACTTGAGATAACTTATTTTCCGATGCACTGTTTCATAAAAAAAAAAAACTTGTAACTTGTTGATGAAGTAGCAATTAGTATCACAAATTAACATTCAGTTTATTTGAAATTTATGATGAAAATTTGTTTAGGGGCTAATTTTTTTAGTTACTGAAAATTCAAAGCTACTTTCTTTAGTTTTCAAAATTTGGCTCAAACGGTCCCTTAATGTCATTTTGTTTGACGTTGTGGTGGATGAAGGTGGAGGATGGTTCTACTTTGAGTAGAGCTGACTGCAGAGCCAAGGGCGGAGCACCGGGCTTTAAAGTGGCAATTGTGGGTGCTGCTGGAGGCATTGGCCAACCTCTTGCAATGCTGATGAAGATGAACCCACTGGTTTCAGTTCTTCATCTCTATGACGACATTAATGCCCCCGGTGTCACGCTGACATTAGTCACATGGATACCGGTTGCTGTGGTAATGGTATGAATTCTTCATCAACTTTACTTTTCTCGCTATTTTTGGACAAAAATGTCATTACAATCTATAAAATTGAATGATTCCTAGTTAATGACAATGGGGCTTAAGTTATGATGTTGATGTTTGTAAGGTATGGAAGCATTCTAATGAGAACCTAACCTGAGATACTAAATTTAAATCTTGTATAGGAACCGTTCGATTTGATATGAACGAATAAGATATACAGTTTAGTTAAGTTGATGCGATTCATCTTAGTCATCCATATCTGATTTAATCGCGCGCTGATAAACAATTCTTGAAGTTAAGTTTTTAGATCAAATTGTAACCACTGAGAAAGTATCATCCTTGGAGTTTAGGTGCGCGGTTTCTTAGGGCAGCCACAGCTGGAGAGCGCTCTCACGGGCATAGACCTTGTGATCATACCCACCGTTGTTCCAAGGAAGCCTGGAATGACAAGGGACGATCTCTTCAACATCAACGCCGGAATTGTCAGGACCATCTGTGAAGGCATTGCAAAAGCCTGTCCTAAGGCAGTTGTTAACTTAATCGGTAATCCAGTGAACTCTACAGTTCCTATTGCAGCAGAGGTTTTCAAGAAAGCCGGCACTTATGACCCAAAGCGACTTCTAGGAGTCACAATGCTCGATGTTGTGAGAGCAAATACTTTTGTTGTGAGTACTAGTCGAACAAGTTTATGTGTTTCCTATCATTTATGTTCGTGGTTTTTTCATTTTCCGCTTGCGTAATTTCCTTGCAGGCGGAAGTTCTTGGACTTGATCCTAGGGAAGTTGATGTTCCAGTTATTGGTGGTCATGCAGGAGTGACCATTTTGCCGCTTCTGTCACAGGTTGTATAGATTGATACAAGTTTTAGTTTTTTTTTTTCTTATCTTGCCTTCAAAATAAATGGGCTGCCGCACAAGCGCGCAAAATTCAAAAGACGGCGTGTCTGTGTATGCAGGTCAAGCCTCCTTGCTTCTTCACCAAGGAAGAAACAGAATACCTAACAAACCGGATTCAAAACGGTGGAACAGAAGTTGTTGAGGTCATGCCTCTTAGCTTGTGAATTATGAATCTGGTTTGACGCATATTGTTCTTCCATGTTACTATTGAGTCCAGGGGTTGTTCTTGTGTGTTGGTTCTTCAACAAAATCTTATTTACAATTTTGCAGGCAAAAGCTAGGGCTGGTTCGGCAACACTGTCAATGGTTATTCGTTTCAAATTGCTCAATCGTATACACATTATTTCTTTTTGGGATTAGATTACCAAGTCTTGGAATTCACTAAAACAATCTGCAGGCATATGCAGCGGTGGAATTTACGTATGCATGCCTCCGTGGCTTGAGAGGAGATGCTGGTGTTGTTGAATGCACTTTTGCTGCCTCCAAGGTACTCTGTTCTAGCCTTATTGAGCGTCAACGTTGTCTTAAAATCAAGTTCTGAACTTCTAATAACCAAGCACAACGCTTAATCTTTGTGGCAGGTAACCGAACTTCCTTTCTTCGCAACCAAGGTTCGGCTTGGTCGTAGCGGAGCCGAGGAAATCTACCAACTCGGGCCTCTGAATGAGTATGAGAGGTAAAACAGTTACTAATTATGCACACTCCACAATTGTGCTGCTGCAAAATAGCGTAGAACAACCTAAACATTCTTCATGGTTCATCCGTAGGATCGGATTAGAGGAGTTAGCAGCAAGCATCCAGAAGGGGGTTTCGTTCATCAAGAAGTAAAATTTAGTAAATTCTCGAGTTTCCTACAGAGATATGTAAATAATATATGCAAAATTCAAGTCTTTACTGAATTTTCATAAATTAATTTAAACCCTCAGTAACTTCATTACATAAATTTTTACAGTAGTATCACCGGACCTCATCTAAATCATCACTATGTTTCAAGAAAAAGAAAGTACAAAATCATTATATCTTTACACTTCCAGATTTTGTATCAGCAAACCCTAAACCGAAAAACTTTACAAGGTATAGGGGCTCGCCGGAGGATGAATGATGGGGACTGTGGACATGGAGACATTCCCCAAGAGCTCACTCGGTGCCATGGTGTCCTCCACTGACACAGGGTTAACCGGAACCACTCTCTCCGGTATGATTTTATCACCCTCAACCTTAGCAAGCACCTCAAAATGCATCCTCAAGGTCTCAGGCTTTGTCCTCCACTCTGGGAAACCTTTCAAATCAATCCCGTCTTCTTCTTTGAGCTTCTTTTCCACCCCAAACCCGATCTTCAAAAACGTCTGTGCAGACACATCTGCCTTCAATAATTTGAAGGATCCTTTCTTATTGGCCTTAGGACCCAAAACAGATGCAAGTAGAGACTCGAAACCCACCAAGTTAGGATTCGAGCCATTGACGGAAGCAAGGGGCCAGACTGTGCTGAAGTAGCTCGGGGTTAAAATGGCCTTGGTCTCTTGGTTTTGCAGCTCAACGGAAATGGGCCTGGTGTTGGATGGGGAGGACAACTCCACAAGCCCTGGGGCAAGGCGCTTAAGCTTGAGCTTGTTGTTCACAGAGGGAGAGGTTGATGACGGTGATGTGAGGGAAGTCGGACCAACAATGCGGAGAGACAACAACGGAGATGACTGGGTTCGAGAAGCATGGCGCAGCCATTCAGCCAAGGTCACAAGACCAGAAGCAAGCCCATTGCTGGTTCGGTTCAATGGCAATGGGAGCTGAAGAGGGTGGCGTAGGCTCACAGACCTCGCACCCTTCACCGTGACCACAGCTCCTTCTGCTAACATCACCTTCTTCAACACACCAGCATCCACATCATGCTGCATAGCATTCAACATATCAGTTCTGAAACTCCCAAATTTCAACCCAAATCAGCTGGTCACATTGCATTTTTGGTTTCATCATTTTAATTTTGTCAATCATATATTTCAAATTAAGACCAAGTTATAACTTTTACTGTTTCATCGAATAAATGACAGATTGCTATTGTAATGTTTTCGTGCCACCAAAATCGGTGAGAATCCAATCTTGAATTTAATTCCAACTAAACATGTTTCATCTATTCAGATCACCCCCAAAATCTAATTATTTCTAAAACAATAAGAATCTCACGTGCGTATGTTTTGATAAACAAATTCATCAAAAATATTTGATGAGTCTAGTTCTGTCTCATCTAACTCACATTGACTATAGCGGATTAGCTCGAGTTCGAATCCCCTCTCCATATTTTAAATTAGTTTCAGACTATTGCTTGTATGAAAAATTAAAAAACTTGGGCTAACGATTCAAAATTTAATAGCCGAATACTTACAGGGAGCGAAATCCTCATGTCTTTGGCGTCCTGAATCCAGAGCTCCATGGGCCCAGCCAGCTGAAATGGAGCCAAAACCGGAGGCAACCCACCACCCGATTTGCCTTTCTGGACCAACCCATTTTCGTCCTCGACCCGAAAAATGGGCAAATCGACGTAATCCCAGCGGTCGACGTCCTCCAGAAGCTTGAAAGGTAGGACCTTGTTGTCGACCTCCACGTCGAACTCGTACGCCACCGAATGCCCCACCTGCGCGTCCCTCAAATCGAACCCCGACACCTTCAGATCCTCCGCCTGAAACCCTAATCCCTTCACGATCGCCTCCTTCAAATCCTGCAAATCAACCAACCAAATCTCAATCAATCAATCAACCAATCCGAAACCAAAATCCAATTGCAGAGAGAGAGAGAGAGAGAGAGAGAGAGGGCGTACGGAGATGGCTCTGGAGGTGGCGTAGGGAGGGCGGAGCTCCGGCGCGGAAATCAGAGAGAGAGAAGACGGTAGGAATTGTGCCGTTAGGAGGATCAGAAACAGCGGTTTGAGAGCCATTGTTTTTGGATTTGGAATTTTTGGAAGAATCGGAACTGTGATGTTGGGATTTTGGGGATGAAATCGGTGGTGGGTTTGATTTGGATTTTGGATTCTGGGGTTTAACTTTTATTGATTGGGGAAAGTGGGGGCGTTTTTCCTCGGGATTGTTCCTATTTTCCTAATTTTCTTTGGGAAAATTTGAGCCGTGCAGAATCTAGAGGGTGATGACGTGGAGAAAACGGAGGGCGTGATTGGCTGCGATTTGGTCCGCGTGTTTCGCGGGTTTTCTTTGCTTGGGTTCAGGTTGGTAATACCGTTAAGGAAAAATAAACGGCGTCGTTCCAAGTTGAAGGAGAACGACGTCGTTTCTTGATGGATAACGAACTACACCACTAGACCATGCTGTTCGAATTTTTGAAAAATAATTTTTCTTAACTGCTAAAAAAAGAATTCGCCTATTCAAAACCAATCACCAACAATATCTAACTTTTCTTAAAAAAAAAAAAAACAATCTTCTGTTGCACTCTTATTAGATTAAGAATGTGATTGTATAAATTCTAGTGTATCTAGGAATATCTTGAAATATTCCTAAGTTATATATTATCCTGTTAGAGTTGTAATCCTATTAGGGCAATGATTTAACCTATCCTACTATAAATAGAGACACAATAGGGTGATATAACACGTATCAGAATTACATATCTTTCTCCTCTCTCTTGCCGCCTACCCTTTCTCTCTCTAGTCCTAAATATAATTCAGTAAATTAGGTCTACAACACTTTATCAGCACACTCTTACTAGAAGCTAAGGAACTGAAGGATCGTGGAGGAGGCTTTCTTCTACAACATCAAAAGCTCAATTATTTTCTGCCAATCAAGTTCTTTTAAAATAAATTAAGATATTTGAAACAACCTTGAAGCATGAAAACATTTCTCATGATGCATGAACCTCCTATATTTATATTTTCCTTTCAATTATATATATTGCATATGTGTTCATATATTTGTCAATATATATATATATATACACATATATATATTTGTTCATGCATTACGCAATTATGCTTTGTGGAATTTGTGAGTCAAAGCATCAAAATTAATTTAGAAGTAATTAGGTTTTTAACCCTAGAATTCGAAAAAAAAAAAAAAAAAAAAAAAAAAAAAAAAAACCTAAAATCTAGGATTTTTTCTCACTGCATTGTCACTGACACCGACGAACGCCAGCTGGCCTGCAGCCATGCCGTGCCTAAGACGACGTCGTTCTTACGTTTGACCCATGCAGCAGCCCTTTGGGCTTTGCTGCATGCACTGGATAGCCATGCCGAAAGCCTGGTTTGGGTTTATGAAACGGGCTTGCAACCCTAGCCTACTCTAGCACAAGCTTTGCTAGGCTCGCCATATCACGGCCCATCCACAAAGCCAGCTTCTGTTGGGCTTTGTAGCGCCTCAGCCCAATACCACAACAAGCCAACCTTTGTGGCTGGGCTTGCCCAGAAACGACCCACAATGAAGCTAGCTCTTACTGGGCTTTGTGCACACCCATCTCAAGCCAGCCCCATGCAGACATGTGTCTTCAGCTCCTTTTGTGGCCCAAAACCAACAACTTGGCTGCTGGGCTTTACCCCAGACCCACAGTCCATGGCTTGTAGCCAACCCGTGGCCCAGTACCCCTTTTAGGGCCTTAACTCATACACAGCAGTTAGCCCACCAAATTGGGCTGCGATTTTTTTTAAAACCCAATACTATGTTTTAGCATTCCCACTTCTTAACTATACTCCTATAATTACCTATTAAGCTAATAGTAACCCGAATGTTATTATGTTGTTTCTACGATTAAACTTGAATGGTTGCGATCTATTGAATTAATTAAAGTGACCAGCAGTCCATTAATTTGACAATTAATCCAAAATTATTGGCCTGAAGCTCACTTTTTGGCAATTAATGATTCAATAAATTATTTCGTTTCTTTGAACTGTTGACCATCTTTCGTAGTCCTGATGCACTCACATTTGGTTCTCCTAAAGCCCACCACTACCCAACCTTACTCACCGTTACAGTTGGTTATTGGATACGAGCCTGACATCTCGCATTTACATGTATTAAGGTGCGCAGTCTGTGTGCCAATAGCGCCGCCACTACGTACCAAAATGGGTCCTCAAAGAAGAATGGGAATCTATGTCAGTTATGATTCTCTATCAATTATTCACTACTAAGAGCCCTTGACATGAGATCTCTTTATCACACGTTTTTTGAATTGTCACTTCGATGAGATAGTTTTCTCGTCGTTAGGGGGAGATAAGATCACTAACGTTCCTGTAGAATGCCGTGAATTGTCATGGATTACTCCCAATATGCCTCATTTAGATCTCCGCACTCCTCAGCCTGAAATTGAAGTGCGACGTATTCTAGATCTTCAAAGCATTGCTCAAAGCATGTTGGGTGCTTTTACTGATCTAGCAAAGGTGACGAGATACACATAAACCTGCTGTAAATGCGCATGCGAGGATCGACGTACTTAACATATACCATAATACCACCTTGGAAGGTCGAACTGTCCCTGAGGGTGGGGCGTCCGCACCTTCCACGCGACACGATACAATAACAGCTAGCCAATCATCTGCTCCTAACTTGAAGCATGGCAGACCTCCTGGTTCAAAAGATTCACAACCCCAGAAGAGGAAAACGACACAAACTAGTGACCCTAGTCTAAATTCGACCATTGCTTACTCATATGTTCCAACACATAAGGTTATTTTAGACTATGTTGATGTCGTAGATAAGACATACCGACCTCCCGAGAATCGTGAGATTTCCATCCATTACACAATATTGGATGAGGTTTGGACTCGGAATGAGATGATCATCGATGATGCATTTGTGTACACAGTAGCTATTGACATCATGCGTAGCAATGACTTCCGTTGATGAATGTCGATGAAGAATAGATTGGTCAAACTGGAAACAAGCAATCTAGGTCGAACTCGATTCACTTGTGAAACGCAAGGTGTTTGGGTTCGTAGCTCCTACTCTACCACATGTGAAGCCCGTGAGCTACAACTGGATTTTCGTAAGAACACATAATGAGAAGAATGAAATAGTGCGATACAAAGCACGCCTCGTAGTGCAAGGCTTATTTCAATACCCTGGGATTGATTACGAAGAGACGTATTCCCCCGTAGTGGACGTCATAAAGTTTTGCTTCCTTATCAATTTGGTAGTTTCCGAAAAACTGAATACGCAGCTTATGGACGTGGTAACCGCGTATCTTTATGAAGATCTAGATACGAAAACCTACATGAAAGTTCCAGAAGGACTTCCATTAACTGGTTCAAATAGTTCTAGACTATCTCGATTAGATTGAGGATATCTCTTTACGGATTGAAACATTTTGGACAGATGTGGTATAACCGTCTGAGTGAATATTTGACAAGTAAGGGTTATGTGAACAACGAACTATGCCCATGCGTGTTCATCAAGAAGTCACATTCTGGATTTGCAATCGTTGCAGTTTATGTCGACGACATAAACCTCATCGGAACTCTCGCAAAGCTTGAGGAAATTACCGTTCACTTGAAATCGAAATTTGAGATGAAGGATCTTTGGAAAACTCTATATTGTCTCGGCCTGGAGATTGAGCATTATTTGGATAGAATCCTAGTACATCAATCGAACTACACCCAAAAGGTGTTGCGATGTTTTAAAGAGGATAAATTGAAGCATTCGAGTACTTTTATGGTCATTTGGACGCTAGATGCTAAATGAGATCCCTTCCATCCCAAGGAAGATGAGGAAAAGATTTTGGAGCCTAAAGTTCTATACCTAAATGCAATTGGTGCTTTATGGTACTTGGCTCAATGCACTAGACCTGACTTTTCTTTCACTGTTAATCTTTTGGCTAAATACAGTAATGCGCCTACAAGCAGACACTGGAATGGTGTTAAAGATATTTTCTGGTACCTCAAAGGTACGACGAATTTAGGCTTGTTCTACACCCATGAATCCTTGAGAGGAGTCGCCACCCCTTCAGTCATTGGGTTGATTCTCGCCTCGTTGGTTACGCAGATGCTGGTTATCTGTTTTACCCACATAGGGCACGTTCTCAAACGGGCTATGTCTTTACCATTGGAGACATCGCAATATCTTGGAGGTCTACCAAGCAAATGTTAGTTGCGACTTCTTCGAACCATGCTGAGATTCTCGCCTTGCATGAAGCCTCGCGTGAGTGTTTTTGGTTAAGAGCAGTCATGGTACATATTCAAAGCACTAGTGGTCTTTTTACCATTGTTGACCTTTCTATGACGATCTTTGAAGACAATGCATCATGTATCGAATAGTTAAAGAATGAACACATTAAGGGAGACAACACTAAGCATATAGCGCCGAAGTTCTTTTATTCTCACCAGCAACAACAGCGTCAGAACATTGAAGTCAAGCTAATCCTTTCCCAGGACAACCTGGCTGATCTCTTTACCAAATCATTGCCTAAGTCTACTTTTCAGAAGCTCATCCAAGGAATCGGTATGCATAAATTATCTGAATTGAATTGCTTGTAGTTCTATTTTTTGGAAGTTATGTCTAACTCAGGGGAAGTATCCTGAAGCATACTCACTTGATTTTAATGTACACTTTCCTACGATTAGAGCATTTTTCCCACTGGGTTTTTACTGCCTAACGAGGTTTTGATGAGGCACCCATCTTGGGATGATCATACTTCGTTGAGTTCACTACTTTTGTCCTGTATGATGTTTGTTTTAGACAATATGCATACTTCTCACTTTTCTCCTTAGTCTATGGGTTTTGTACCTACCTTAGGTTTTACCATAGCGAGATTTTGTGAGTTTTACTACCAATGCAAACTTTTTTGCATTCATCCGTTGTTTCGACGACTTCATCAACTATTCTACCTCAACTGCTAAAGACCTAATGCGATGTTTTATTTGAGAATTTACACACTCAAGGAGGAGAGTCCTATTAGATTAAGAATGTGATTGTATAAATCCTAGTGTACCTAGGAATATCTTGGAATATTCCCTAAGTTAGATATTATCCTATTAGAATTGTAACCTTATTAGGGTAATGATATAGCCTGTCTTGCTACTATAATAAAGGCACAATGGGATGATATAACACACACCTCATAATTACATATCTCTTTCTCATCTCTCTTGTTGTCGGTCCTCTCCCTCTCTAGTCCTAAATACAGTTTAGTAAAACCAATCACCAATGAATATCGTACTTTTCTTATTAAAAAAAAAAAAAAAAAAACTAATCATTAACAATACCCAATTCTTTGTGACAAGAACAGAGATATCATTTATTAATCTCGTACCAGCTTGCCCTAATAAAATTTGAGGGATTAATATGAGACAATTTTTAATCATTATTAATATGAGACTACAAAACTAACAGACAAAATGAACGCAAGACTTTGAGACTCAAATAAATTAATTCCTTATACTCATTCAGTATGAAATCTCGACCAATCAACGGCTACATTTGTCTTATTTCTTTAATTTTTTTCCCCCTCTAAAGTGATGTTAATTCATGATTACAATCAAGGGGGATTATTCTTTTGAAATTTGAGAGAGATAGTTGCCATAAAGTCATACCAAAAGATCACAATCTAAGTGGGGGCTAGGAGAGAACACTATTATTCACCTAAATTATAAGATAAGACCTCCACATCCAATGAGAACAAAATTCCAACTTTGATAACCCTTTGGGGCTATAATATAAGCACTTGTCTCTAACTAGCTACTGTCAAATTTTCAAAGTCTTATTACTGTCCAGCAACCACCAATCCCAGAAACCAGATTGCTTACTTAGCTGTATTATTCCCAACTAATGTGCAATAATTTTGATACAAGCCTATATGATCGTATTCAACTATTATCCCTGTGATTGTTAGATAATCAATTTGTGTGCTTTTTCCCTTGCACATTGGTATTTAGCACTGTCATTTGGACAAGGAAAATAAAAAAGGTGAATCCTGTTAATATATCTCACATCAACTGTATTTATGAGAAAATAATAGTTTATATATCCTAACTTCACTCCAATTAATACTGAGTCATTTTGTGATAAAACCTCACGCATAAGAAATTTTGTAAGTGGTAATTACCAAGCTCGGGATAATATTAATGTTGTTGGAAGTATGCCTTTGACCCGTCTCTCTAATATTTAATTTGACAAAACCATGATTTAATTCCCTATAGTTTGGGTCAAGTTTTACTTTATAGTCTATCAAGTTTCATTAGTCCCTGTAACAGGTTTGACATACATGTAAGGTGTATTGCACTTGTTGAAAAATCCAATTTACCCTTCAGATTTTACACAAAATTTTAGTAACTAGTGAATTAAGTGGCTAAATTCAATAAAATTTAAAATGTAGAAAGTGAAACTTCACCCAAACTACAAGAAACTAATTAAAGTAATAGGACATTAAGTTGTCACATAAAATAACACGAAATTACTTATTTTCCATTACATTGTCAACCAAAGGGTTACATATAAAAGGAGATTACTAGGAACAGAGGCTCACGAAATAAGATATTCAAGATGCCTCTAAAACACTAGCCAAACAAATGCCTGCTTTTATCCTCACCTATAAAAAAAAACCTAGGGGACACAAAGGGATGAGTTGCATTTCGCAAACTCCTTGAAGGAAAAAAAACTCTCATAGACAAGCTGTGAGATAACTTGCTTCAACAGGTGGGTAAATAAGCATGGTTAAAGCATGGTAAACAAGTTAACCATGCAAAAAAAGGTGATGTGAAAAAACCCGCCTGCAAAATAATCTGACAGCAAACAAGCTTGAAGGTAACTTAGTGAAGGATTGCAGGCCTTGTAAACATAAATTCTTAAAAAGGGTACTTAAACTTGGTCTGGTTGGATATTTGAGGAAATACTCCTATGTATTCTGAAGCTTCTGTAGCAAAGAACATATCGAAAGCTGCATGTAGATTCTTTTCACATGAACAGATTGAAAGCTGTGCGTAGATTCTTGACGAGATCCTGCACCGAGAGGCTGAATTCCGCTTCCATCTGCCAAAGATCAAGATATTGTTTCAAAAATGACTTTAGATTAAAACTAGGGAAGTGATTTCCACACATCAATTTTATCCCCCAACACGCCCTTGTTTATCTCTACTTTTTGGGTTGGATAAAAAAAGTCTTGGGACAAAAATAAACACTAATTTCTAGAATGAGAGATGAGCGTGCGGAAATCATTTCCATTGGAAATATTACGAAGCAACAAATTTCATTCATACAATTGAGAAGGAAACTTACCTGAGCAATAATGGTAACGTCAAGAGCACAGCTCCCAAATGTCATGACACTACTATTGATGAATTTTAATTGGAGCTTCTCAACCTCTGATATTGTTTTCTCCACAACTCCTTTCCTTTTCTCACAGTGGATTCTTATCAAGACATTGTTGTCACAGAACCTTGCTTCGATTTCAGGTAGTGTTGCGTCAAACGGGCCTGTGGAGTTGTTTTCGTCTGAGGAAGTTTTGTCGCCATTGGCAAAGAGCTGTGTTTTCTTCACAAACACGACCGATTCCATGTTTTTGTTTCTCGTCTGTTCCTCAAGTGTCTTTACCTTGTCCTGCAGTTGTTTGATGTACTTGATTGAATCTCCCAGAACAGAAGCCTTGTCCATCTGTCATAGCATGAAGAACCACTCACGATTAGAAACGCCATTCAGCTGGTAAAAAAAATCCAAATTTCAAAATTGATACCATCCCAAAACCTACTGGTTGCTTGGAGTAAAAGCAAGACAATCAAATGTTAAAGAATGCCTTGAATAAAATCTGCAGTGAATTGATAGATAGAGGATATAATTTCTGTTACCTTCTTTAGGCCAGGAATGATTGCAGATAAAGCTATGAACCGCTGGCTGAGCTTCTCTCTGCGTTTCCTTTCTGCGATAATATGATCTTGAGTTGCTGAAAGACGAGGGTTTGTGCTGTTCCTATTTGTTCCCTGACTGGCCTTAAATAAACAATTTTGGTTTCCAAATGAACCTTGAGAAAGCAATATATCAGAAGGGAGACTGTTGGTGCTCTTTGAACACACTGCTGCTGCCTCCTTCTTAGGCTTAAGCACCGCCATTTGGTTTGCATGATTAGAATTGACGAACGAAAGAATGTTTGGTGAGGAAGCAACTTGTGGATTCGATACAAGATGATCGGTCTTGCATGAAGGCCATCCATCGGGTTTGAGCTGTTTCGCTGGTCTATCAATACCAGTATGAGAATTATCGATAGGAGTTTTGAAGTTGAAAGTTGGGTGGAAGTGAGAGTGTTGTAAATTATCTCCAATTGCAGCTGCTAGTGGGAGCATACCGAGCTCATCCAAAGAGTTCATGTACTGCCACTGGTTGATGAAGAAGGGATCTTCCATTCCCTGTAAGTTAAACAATTTCTTTCTTTATTATCAAATTAAATAGACAACATTCATCAAAAATAATGAATGAAACTGTTTCGAACAAGTCCAAAACTTTAATATTAATACAATTTCAAATTATTAATTATGTGCCAAATAATCCTTGAGTTTTGACACATAAAAAGGCAGAAGCTTTGTTGCATATTTTTATCTTTGTCCAAAAGTAAAAGACACCAAGGGTTTCTGCAGAATTAATTGTCTTACCAGCTCAGATAATCCTCCTCTTGATGAAATCTCCATTAAATTTGCTTCTTTTTCTTGGTGACCTAAAGCTCAAGGAGGTTCCTGGAAAAACAAAATCATTGTAACAGGTTACTGGCCTCGTACAAAACAATCCGCTCAGCGTGTTCTATTAGAATGCAAGTATCAACAATTGGTAAAGGAAAAAAATTAAAAGAATTAAAAAAAGCCGAAAATGTTTTAAGCACGTATGCAATACTTCCGTCTCTAATGTGGGATCTCTTAACAGACTCCCTTTCGGTACAAAATATGCAAATCGAAACTCAAAAATTGTGCAAGAAAAAACAACCCAAAACTTTGGAAGAAGAAGCTGAATCATACGACAAATATTTAGTAAGTAGTATTAGAAGTAAGAAAACTTACACTCGAACAATTAATGACCAAAGCTTATTCTTCTTGCAAGTGACTCTCTCTCCCTTAGAGATCGTACAAGACCTTGACCCGCAGCTTCAAGCTTTTATAGCTCTTGCTAAGTTCTTGTGTAGTTCATCTGTCTGTACCTCACCCTTGAACTCTCTCTCTCTCTCTCTCTCTCTCTCTCTCTCTCTCTCTCTCTTATAGGTAGCATGATTTGATTACTAATGTTCCCATTATTATTCTAAGTTTGTTCTATTGTTCCTTGTGAATTTGTTTGAATGCTAACTATAGCTAGCAAGCAAATTAGAATATTAATTTGTTTAATGCTAAATTATGGATTAAATATAGAGATTAACTAGAAATCCAATTTTGTTGCTTTGTGGACTTCTAGCAGGATCTTTCACCAACTATCTAGCCATTGAAATTTTAATTCAAGCAGTTGGCAATGAAGCAACAACAATATTAGAATTTAGACATGTGGTCCTCCACAATGTCCCCCTTATCACCAAAGCCAACCTTGCATAGTTACATCAACAATTTTTTTTTTCTTTTTTTTCACATTCAAATTCAAAGGCAATGAGTGATTAACCATGAAATGATATATTAAAGACATCAATTTATTACACATTTTTAGTTATTTAACGATATTAATTTTTTTTCAGTCCAAATATAAAAGAATAATAATAAAAGATATGTTGCATTAATTAATATCTTAAAACGCGATAAAATAACTTGATATATTTAGTACTGTTAGTGATTAAATCGCAATCTAACAAATAAAACATTATCACATCAGTTAACATCTTAATATCGAAAGAAATAATTTCATATTTTGTGTTATCTAATTGAACTTAGCAATTAAATCACAGTCTACTATTGTCCATGTGAGTTCAGATATGTCATCTGGTGGTAGGTTTGGAAAGTAATATTAACAGGGCTAATGATGTTGACTTTGTTTTGGAACCTTCCCTTGAGTCTTGGGTCCTGGCTATTTTATGGGTTTATTGTTTGGCCGACATGTTCCGTCAAACCGGCACATCAAGAGGTCAGCTCATATGTGATCATGATTAAACTGATTCGCTTTCCTTTTTTAATTTCTAAATTACATTAATAAAATTCTTTTTGTCAATTCAAAAAGGATAAAAAAATAATTTTATTTTCAACCATAAAACAAAATCATTGGCAAAAAAGTAAATTCACAAATTAAATTTTATAGGTTTTTTTAAAGCATCACCTAAAAGTGATCCTAACATCCTCTAATTTTGAAAAATAAAAAATATATATATAGAATAAAAAATGGAAGAATTAGATGCTAGTAAATTCCCCCATGGTGGCCAGCTTCTCTAGAGAGAAAGAGAGAGCCAGAGTTTGCTCATATTTCCTCAAAGAAAACCCTAATGAAGAAACGACTATAAAGTCACATTTATACCTACCTTCATTAGAGTGGCAAACTTGTAATAGGTCCAAAACCCACTCCCTCTCTAAGCATGGCCAGCCTCCCTATTGTTAGAGCAGTTCTAGTGTGGTCCATTGTCCCTAGGGCAATCCACTATGCTATCCATCTAGTGAACAGTAACTGTCCTTAATGAACAGTAATCACCTTTTGCATCTCCACCCTTGCACTTAATAGCCTTGACAATTGGCAATAAAATATTAATATTTTTTTATTTATAAAATAATACAAAATAATTTTATTTGTAATATTGTTGCGCCACATGTCATTATCCAAAAAGACAATAGCAATAAAATATTAGTATTTTTTTTATTTATAAAATAATTCAAAATAATTTTATTCGTAATTTCGGATAAGATTTTTAATTGTTCTTGTTACGCCACATGTCATTATCCGAAAAGACAATTATTGGTGATGGATTTTCGATAAGATTTTAAACCAATCACGTCACGCCACGTGTCACAATCTGTTTATAATCTTTGAGGATAGATTTCCACCAAATTTTTAATGAATGATAGTATGCCACGTGGCATTATCTATAACCTAATCCTTTCTAAATCCTCCATATAATCCACCATCCATCCTTATAAATCTCACACCAACTTTCTCAAGATCTCTATCATTATTCATAGTTTCTGCTTCCTTATTCACCTAAATCTCTATCATTATTCATAGTTTTTGCTTCCTTCTTACAATGTCTTTTTCTTCCTCAAGGATGATGTGGGAAATGGATCAGCAAGAGGAAGAATTGTTTAACCAATCAAAAGGAATGTTCAAATGACAGGCGGCCCAAAATGATAGGGAAGAGGATGAGGAGCGTAGACGGAGAGACAACGAATCAAGAATGGCAAGAGCCTCACATTCCCGTCAAGTCATCTAAGCTGTGGCTCAGATCTGCAAGCCTAGCCATACTATAAACATTGATAGAAGCAGGCAACGATAAGGTCAGGATTTCTTGGACAATTATTTTGTCCGTAACGGTGCATTCCTTGATACATACTTTAGACGTCGTTTTAATATTCAATTGAATCATATAGAGAAGTATCACATTGGATAGTAGGCATGAAACAAACTATCACTCAAACAATGTGATTAAGAGTATTGTATTAGAGAATGACCGTATTGCATTGTAATTGTAACTGGATAGGTTCTCCAATCACTTCTACTTAGCTTGGGTAACCATGACATACTACCAAGTGTCACTCATGATTTGTTGAAGCCCTGAAGATTAGCAAACACTAATCTTCAACAAAGGGAGAATTGAAATGTAGTTTCAATTCACAATCGATCGTTAAGAGTAACAATCGCCCACTGCCTCACTAAATGGAACCTAATGGATCATACACTGAGTAAGGATAAATGTGAAGATATAAAAGAGATGGATAAGCAATTAAATGGTTTAATTGAGAATGGTCAAGATTAATTAATTAGTTAATTAATTATATGAAAGGCTCGTATTGGGCTTTTAAGTTAGTTTCGGGTTTCGGGGTCCAAAAGGGTTTTTGGTCCATAAGGCCCATTGAGTTTATTTTGTGTGACAACTAAAACTAAATGGAAAAATAGCCCAAGAACAAAGCTAAAACTGGCCACATTAGGGAGAGTGAGTTGATTGACTTATTACAAGTTTGCCACTCACTTATGAGGTGGTATAAAGACAACTTTATAGCTGTTCCCTCATTAGGGTTTTCTTGAGGCAAAGAAGAGAAACATTTTGTCTCATTTTTCTCTATAAAGGCCGGCCACTTAGGGAGATTTTTACTAGCATAAAAAATCTCTCTAAGTCATCCATTTTCTCTCTACACAGCATTCTTGGTGTGGAGACTTAAAGAAACTAAACCTTTGGTGTTCTTGGAGATCCTTTCCTCACATCCTCAAGGAGGAAAAGGAAGAAAATCACAAGGAAGATCTAAGGAGCTAGGAGGTGACTTGAAGGCCCTCCACTTGGGTGAATCCCTTGTGTAAACAAGGATGAGCTTCAAGGGTAATGAATCTCAAAATCCTTTCTTCTCTTTAATGTGCTTAAAGAGTCTTGTGGTTCACCATTCACTAGGCTTTGAAAGTCATGGGTTTTAGAATTGTTTTTGAATGCATGCCTACTTTAATGTGTTAATAGTTTGCATATATGTTCAAATGTTCTCACATGTTCTTAGCTAGGACACAAATTTTCCTTCAATTTGAGCAACATCTATGCATGTAATTAACAATTAAAAGGCAGAATCATGCTTGTATGCACTCAAAAAAAAACTTTACCCATGAAATTCCAAGCCTAGTAGTTATGGTGAACCAAGACTCAACTCAAGATCTAAGAGAAAGAGTTGAGATTTCTTTATACCTTTGAAGGTTAATCACCCATGTGCTGGCCTTCTTTCCTTTGTCACCTTGCTCCTTGGCTCCATGGATGTGGATGGAGGAACTTTGCTTCTTGGCTCCATGTCTTCTTGGATATGGTTTTTTCGTTTATAACCGTCGAAAAATTTTGTCCCGTCACTGGATCTCTGAAGGTTTTTTTTTTGTGATTTTTGGTGTATGCGATCTTGAAGCATATACAAACAAGTTTGATGGTTGGATACAATGTGTATCGCATCAAGTTCAATGTTATATATATATTTATTAAGTGGATTTAAATTTATTTATTTTTTACGTATAATACCTAAGAAATTGAATGATATGTATATTTATTAAGTAGCTACCAATTTATTAGTCATGTTTTTGTTAGAAAAATATATTATTGTGGGTTTTATGTAAAAAAAATTGAATTTGAAATGAGTAAAGTCACATTTTCAGTAATTTTTATAATAATTTTTTAAAATAAAAAATACCTTGCACGACCCCTTTATGCGATCGTCACGCAAAAACACTTTGCGCAACGTTGAATTGTATACCTACGTCATGCCAGTTTTGATTATTTTGGTGCAAGTGTAAAAAATAAGCGCCAGTTTTGATAAGTTTGGACAAAATCTTCCCAAACCCCTTCGCTCATCACGCCCTCCTCCTCTTCTCAGGCCCCTTCTCTCTCTCTCTCTCTCTCTCTATTTCTCTGACTCGGTCTCTCTCTTCCGTAGCCTTCCTCATCTTCGCTCATCACGCCCTCTCTCTCTGGCCCGTAGGCTTCCTCCTCTTCGCTCATCACGCTCGAACCCCAAATCGCCCCAATCTTGAACCCCACTGTCGATTGTCTCTATCCCTCTTATTCTAAACGATGGGTAGCCACCACCCCTTCGGCGTGCTCGTCTCTCTCCTTGAAAGTAAGTCTAATTACTAGGGCATGGGATGGATTTCAGGGTTTAAAAAATTGTGAATGGGAATTAGGGTTTTAATTTTGAAATGGGGATTGAATCAGGGTTTTTATTTGGGATAAATTATTAGGAAATGGGCTGAATTTCAGTGTTTAAGAATTTCTCTCTATGTATGTTAATAGTTGTCGTTACAGTATAAGAGACTGGAATCATTGTAGCCATTCAAGGCCAAAAGTTGGGGTTAGTTTGTGCTCACTATGGATTGAAGAAACCTCCTTATAAACTTGTAAGTAAACTAGTTTCTCCTTAAACCAATTTTAAGGACATGAAATCAGGCTGGCCAAGTTAGTGTCGCATTAGGTGCACCAAGAGAAGTTTTGCGGTTTCTTATAACCTGATTGGATTTGTATGATACTTTAGTAATTTGATTGTTTGGTTTCTGAAGTTCGTGTGGTGTAGCATTTGATTCTATGAAAGCCCTCAGTTGTGGCAGTTATCCATCTCGTGTTGTAAATCTTATTGTGTAGAGATTACTATTCTGTTTGGAGCTACTTATTCTTGTCACGTGATGATACATACATATAATTATATTATGCTTGCAATACGCATATGATCTTCCTTGACTGAAAAGTAATGTTTCTGTTTTCAGGATGCTTTGGAGTCGTATATGAGTCAGAGAACATTGGAAGTTCACTTGGGAGGCCAT